TTGGATAAAACACAGCGTGAAAATGGGGCGAAACAATTCAGGAAGTTTAGAGATACATCAACACAGAATTGCTGTGCATTTGTGAAATACAGTGAAAAACAAAGATGAGAGGAAAAACGTATTCTCCCCAAATGTTATTTTTTTTGTTGGCAACACTCCTTCTGCACATATTGACAAAACCCATCACAAGACTCAATAAATAGAACGAACGGCAAACTTTCTTGGTAGATCTGGCAACATCTCTGCTTTGATTGGTGGTTGGAGTTTTTAAGCATTTTTTATGGTTTCAAATAATTTCTTGTGCATTTCTGCGTTACTCGATTTGGATGTGGAGGTTTTGCCGCCGGATTTGAGAACTCGAAGCCCGAATGCCCCTGAAGAACATCCTGATGATTTGAACACGATGTACAAGGCCAGGCACGTGCGAAAGCCATGTGCCATGTGCCGTGACTTTAGCAGCAATCTATAGCAATCTATAGCAATCTATAGCAATCTGCTATTTTGGATTTGGACATGGAATATAAATTATGGGTTGTGGGAAAAGCGCAACGAGTGGCTCTGGCATTGCGGCTTTTCCCATTACATAGATTGAGAATCTTTCCCGCCTTTTATGTACTTCTACTCTTAAAATGCATGCACAGTGTCTACCTTTACTCTGTGTTTCCAACCCCTGTATAGAAACTGGTAACTATAGTATTGTTCAGGAATTCCATTTTCAGGGCACTTGCTGCACTCAGCAGGTCAAAATCTCAAAAGAATCGAGGAAAGCAAAAACAGTCCATAAATCAGCTTAGATTTTCTCACTTTGTTTTGACCACATTCTCTTCAATCCACCCATGCAAGGATCACTCGTCACAACTTTCAATGCTGCAGGGCAAACTGCGCAGTTTGCGCTCTACGCTGCATATTCCTTGCATACACAAACGGCACATTTTGTAGGATGTGTGCAGCACAGATGTTGTTTTCTCAAGCAATTTGTGCATGCTCTTTTCTGAGCATCTCCATGCATTTCTAACGCAAAGGAGCTCTTTCTGCATATTTCTGCATGGAATATTTCATTGAAGAGTGTAGGACTTCCTGCTAGGACCAACACATGTTTTGAACATCAAGAATGTCACATTTTCTCAAGGAAGTTTCTATCTTTCTGTATAGGTTCCTATAGTTTGATAGTTTTGTTTCAAGAAGTGTTGCATGTCCTTTTCTGAAACCTTGGACTCTCTCCAATAAAACTGTCCGCTGCATATTTTGGTAAGGATCGGGCGCAGGTTATTTGTTGCACCCCGGAATGTATTTCCCTGCCACACATTGCCACACATGCTTCTTTTTTTTGGAGAGTGGTGAACGAAGATGTGCATTTACTTTCTCACTTTTCAATCTTGATATGCATACTTCACGGTGTTCAGTCTTGCACTTGCATGTAAGACAATCCTTTAGCGAAAAATCCTGAAACAAGTTCGCCTTCCGTCAAAAACAACTAGCATTTTACTTTCATACAATGTTCTTTTGCGCGGCCTGATTGCAGAAGCATGCTGCAGGGGGGCCCTTTGACAAAGCGTTTTATAACATAGCTAAGAACAATAACCTGAACACATTTGATATGAATTAATATTATATAAGTAATATACAGTATATATATATAAGTTATATATTTTAATATATATATAATATGATATATATATGTACGTAATGTACGTATAGTATACACTATGTGCACACACCCACATATACGTGTATGTATAGTATTGTGTGCTTGTATGAATACAAACGGGATGAAATAGATAGGTAGCAGCAAGACTTTTGTCTCAGGATCTGCTTGCAGCTAGTCGCAATTTGGAGATTTGCATCGCGGAAAGCATGAATCTGAGTTGGACTGATCCATGAAAGGATTGATTCATGCGCGCTGCATATGCGTGGTGTTATTTGATCGCGTTTTTGTTTCCGTGCTGTTTCAGTGACTGGCAGACCTGCACTCTCAAAACTCTGAGCTGCTGCCCTTGACATGAAGAAACGGCCCAGGACAAAGTGCAGGACTTTTGCGCTACCGGAAAGCAGTGCTGCAAGTTGCCACTGGACCAGCATTGATAAAATCACTCGGAACTGGGAGTTTGGGCTTTGGAACCAGAAGCACTGCGTTCGATTTGCGTGCGGATTCATATGATTCATATGGATTCATATGGATTCATGTGGATTCATATGGATTCATTCGCAGTGTTCTTGAGGCTGTGGATTCCGTCATTGACAACGGTCCGAGCCATGGGCATCCAAAAGCTGCTCTGACTGAGTCGGAAGCAGCATTTCCATCGTTTCCAAGGGCGCATGAACAAGCCGAAGGAGAAGGGCAGCGGAGAGCCATTTGAATCTGTTGCAAAGCGGCTAAAGGGAAAGCAAGGTGCAGAATCCTGATACATTTTGATGCCAGTATAGTAGCGCCAGTGTACGAGTGACAAACCGGCACAGCATCCTAAGAGCCTTTCTGTCACCTTCGATGCTTCACCGTGATGGAAGTGGAACAGGCCGCATGCGAAGCAACATGCTGGGAAAGCGTGTCAATTACTCTGCGCGAACTGCTTCTACCTCGGACATCCAGAAGATCAGAGAGAAACTGCTACTTGCATCCTTTGCATCCACTTGTAGCTTGGATTTTTAACACAAGTTTGGTCCCCTCCGCATGCGCCCTACTTGTGCTCACTTCCAGGCCGTCTAAATATTTAGTTGTGCGATTGCCTACGCATCCACCAACCCAGCTACCCAGGTACCGACCCCTGAAGTACCTTGGGACCTAACGCTATCGGGTGCTATCGACATCAAATGCCTACTAGTAGCTGCAACTTACCTAGCTGCTCACTATAGCTATACTTAATGCATCTTAATGCCAAAGTATGCCATTTGCTCCATTGACTAACTGCTGGTACCGAAGCCACTGATTGTACCTGGCAAGCGCGGAGCCGCGTACAGCCTACAGTACAGATTTAGGTGCCGAGCAACCCGAGTTAGTGATAGATAGTACCTGACCAAATATATGATATTCATACACCGTACACACAAAGCAGCCACTTCTGCTTTACGGAAGTCTATCCATTTGGCTATCCTCCTGCACTCCGCTTTATTCAGAATCGAAACAGGTTGAGTAGACACCACTGGATACCCGACATGGCCTTTGTATGTCTTTGTATCTTTTTGTGACATTTGTGAGCTAATGTGAACTGGATAGCAAAAGGGAAGATGCTTCTGAACTTCAACATGTTTCAGGTCATAGTGGTTGATCCTGAAATGAAGGTGGACGAGCTTGATGCCAAGTTTTAAGAGAGTGGTGAGAAAGTTGCGCCCATTTCATCCCATTTCATCCCATTTCATCCCATTTCTGCACCATTTCTGCATCTCTCGCACATGACCGCATCGTGTTGTGTGATTCACGAGGTGCGGCCTTCCGTTCGAAATCGCGAAGGAGCAGCTGCAAGATATTTGACCTTTGATACTTTTGTTGTCTCGAAATGATTGCTCCGATATGATTGATATATTAACCTGAGTGGTGCTGAACGGACCTTGGAATTCATGCAAAGGGGAGTGAACAACGAAAGTATGTATTTTCCCTCGTTGTAGCCATTTTAACCTCAAGGCAACCACCTTGGCTCAGTGTTACCGGGTGGTGTGCCAGAGAGTTTTACCCCCTCACCATGTGGGTGGGGGGTGCCATCGACCGAGAACGGTGGTTCAAGCACCGGTTCAAAGCAGGAGAACTTGTAGAGGCCCCGGTCAGAGATGACACCGGTAAGGCCCAAGGTTTCCTTCTGCTCAGGGTCTTGTCTCATGAGGCCACTGGTGCAGAAGGACACCTATTCACGGCAGAGTTCTTAACCTGCTCGGATAGCCACTACAGATGGTGGATGACCGAAGGAGGCGGAAAGAAGGTCGCCAAGAGAGGATTCTATCATTGCTGCGAAGGTAATGTGCTGGACTGCGGCTTCACCAAGGGACGCCAATCCCTTGTGCATCTGGAAAAATTCCGGATCATTGGGTCCAGAGAGTGGGCCAACAAGGTGCCTGACTGGGTCTTCCGAGGCCAGCCGCGCAAAGATGTTGAGGCGTTTGATTTAAAGATGCAGACGGACAAGACTGCCGCAGACGATGGAGTACCGCTTCCTTGGGCCGAAGCTGAGGATGAGGATGTTGAGCCTAAGGAGGCTTCGAGCGATGAGGATTCCACTGATCAGGCAATTGGAGAAAAGATTCAGCAGGTCAGAGAACAGCTCAAGAAACTTGAGAAGCAGCAGGCAAAAGCCAAGAAAGCCAAGAAAGCCAAGAGGGAGGCTAAGGAGGCCAAAGACAAGAAGAAACGAAAGGATAAGGAGAAAGGCAAGAAGCGCCGCCCTTCACCCTCATCTGAGGAGTCAAAGCAGAGAGGACGCAGTAAGAAGCCAAAGAGGAAGCGCTCTGAGTCGAGCGATGTCAAGGACAAGAAAGACAGCAAGGATAAGGTTACGCCAAAGAAAAAGAAGAAGAAGCGCTCTTCCTCGGATTCAGGAGACGACGGACCAGAAGTCGGCCTTTTTGAAAAGGCTCCTCAGGATGATGGAATCCCTGATCCTATTCCAAAGAAAGGAGACCGCGGCCCGTTTGGATCAGGGTTGCCAGTACAGTTTGATGAGGATGAGTCTTCTGACAGCGATCGAAGTTCAGTTTTTCGGTCGGCCCCTCCCCAGCCGGTGAAATCAGGACAACAGGCACTGATCACCTACAGCCATCGTCGCCCGGGGCGCTTAGCCGCACGGCTGTTGATGAAAATGAAGAACGAGGTGGCGTTGGGCTCGGGAGGGGCGTCCGAAGGGAGTCAGGACAAGACTCCGCCCATAGCGGTGCACTACTTTCTCACGCTGATGATGCCGCAACTGGGCAACCGCATGAACCTTCGAACACAGAGGGAATTGCGCACCATCATGGTGGCGCTCGATCTGCTGGCCAGGAAGGCCCCGGCTCGAGCAGCCGACATACTCGCTCAACGAGTCAAGGCCTTGGAAAGAGCAACATCGGAGGGCCACTGGGCCACGGCCCAATTCCTAGAGCCCATTCCGAGCGAGACCTCGAGCCTGCTCGACCGCGACGAAGAGGTCTACCTTTCCAAGGAATTCCTTCAGACGATGAAAGTCACCCAGTACGATCGCTCAAAAGGAGGAGCCGCTCGAGGAGATCGCAAGGGCGAGAAAGGCAAGGGAAAGACGGCAAAAGGAGATCCCGGCGGAAAAGGAAAGACCAAGAACAAGGACACGGAAGCAACGTGAGTCACCAGGCGAAGCCTGAGGAGCCGCCCGAGGGGGTAGAGAAGGCCGTCCAGTGGCGCGCATTGTTGAGGAGCTTTATGCAGAAGGGCAAACCAGTGGTCGACACCTTTGCCAGGGTTTGGGACTTGTTAGATCAGGTTTCATCACCCCTTGGGGAGTATGTCAAGTCTTGTAAGGGACACAGAGTGCCTCCCGACGTCACCGTCCAGAATTCCCGAGGAAATGATCTTCTTCCTCTCTCCCCTCTGGTGATGGATAGGTTCACAGCAGTCCCTGAGGCACTTAGATCCGCCATGAAGCTGTCGCTAGTTGTCCTCAACTTTTTGGCAATGGGTGGCCGCTACAATCAGTCACGTGATGTACCTCCCCCTCAAAAGTTGTCAGAAGGACAGGAGATGATGCTGTCCCACATAAAAGAGCGCCTATCAGATCTTGCGGCTGAGGAGAAGCTCTGTCCACCGGTCAGTGAGGCTGACCTTGTGTTGGGCAAGGCGCGTTTCGACTACGCAGGTGAGCCGGTGATGATCCTTGAGGATCTCGTGGCTGAGAAGGTCATACCAGTGTGGCCAAAGGTGGGCGAGGCCGCCATTCAACCAGTCTTGCCTTACCTGCCCGATGAACTGGCAGAGATGATAGAAGACCCAAAAAATTGCCTCCTTCCAACCTGGGAGTGGCCCGAGAAACCAACGAGGAGTCGCGTTCGGGCATCTCAGGAGGAGTGGAACAAGATAGTCCAGGCTGGTTATGAAAGAGGACTCATGGTCCCCATGGAGGATGATCAGGTTTTCAGGGACAGTTCAGGTCAGAAAGTCCTCAACGGTGCCGGGGGCGTGAAGAAGCTGAAGCAGATTGGAGGCGAAGAGAAGACTATGCAACGGTTCATCTCAAACTTCATTCCGATCAACCAGTACCTAGCCCACTTGAGCGGAGGAGACCAATTTCTCCCGTACCTGGGACAGCTAACGTTGATGGGCTTGGAGGATGATGAGAACCTCCTGATTGACTCGGAGGACTTCTGCTCCTGCTTCAATCTGTTCACTTTACCCGCTTCCTGGCGTGGTCTGATGTGCTTTGGTATGATGGTAGACGCCAAGTTCATGGGTGGCACAGCAGGTCATATGGTATACCCCGCCATGGCAGTGGTACCAATGGGATGGATAAATGCTGTCACGGTCATCCAGTCGGTGGTCAGGTCACTGGTCTTTCAAGGAGCTCAAGTCCCTGAGGCGTCAGAAGTGGCTAAGATTAAGCAGATGCCAGATACAGATGACTTCACCGTCATCTACTTGGACTCGTATGATGAATTGAGAAAGCTGGATGCTCAGTGGGCTGAAGTCCTTGAGGGTAAGCCATCTGCCCGACATGTCAAGTTCCAAGAGGTATGCCAAGAGAAGGGACTCCCACTCAACCAGGCAAAACGATTGGTGGGAGCCACACGTGGCACGTTGCAAGGTGGCTTACTGGATGGCAAGAAAGGATGGTACAAGTTGGCCCCGGACAAACAGGTGGACCTCATCTCGCTCTGCCTGGGCCTTGTCACCGCGCCTAAATGGCGTGAGTTCCAACTCAGACATGTGATTGGAAAAGCCACTTTTGGCATGTGTTTCAGAAGGCCGCTCCTCAGCATCTTTCAAGAAATTTTTGTGGACCTGCAGAAGCTTACCCAAGTTGATGAGGTGACTCCAGGAGAAGGGGCCATTGATGAGTTGTTCATGGTCGTGGCTATGGTTCCTTTCATGGGGTCCTGCGTCCGTCAGCTTGGATAAAGAGATCACCTGCTCGGACGCCTCACCTACTGGAGGAGGAGCAGCAGTCAGCGACCGCTTCATGCCAGAACCACTTACCGTGGACCATGCAGGAGGAGAATGTTGGTGATGCGAGAGGGTCTTCCGCTCAGAGCAGAGATACCCCTGTCCATCGCAGTGTGGTGCGGTGCTTTGCTCTCTGGAGTGCATCTGGGAGCACCGGAAGCATTCAATCCGCCACAGCAGGGGTTGCCCGAGAAAGTCATGGGGGCTGCCAAAATTTGGAGAGCGATTTTCAGGGGCCCATGCTCCACTGTCGCATGCAGTGGCTCAGATGGGCCACATTGAAGTGCAGAGGCCCTTTGATTTACTCCGAGGAAGTGATTTCTTCTCGGATGCAGGACGTGAAGAACTCACGGAGCTTCTGGATGACCCCTTTCTCTACTGTGAACATTGGGCTCCAGAGTGCAAGCTGTTCAGCCGTGCGCGGGGCAAAAAGATCAGGTTACCGTCAGGCCGGATCATTGCTGGGCCACAACCGGTGCGGGACGCCAATCATCTGATGGGTTTCCCTTGGTTGAAATCCCAGATGAAAGCCCGGCTTAGGAAAAGCAATTCCATGGCCATCAAGGCCCTTCGCAGAGGAGAGACCTCAAAGCAGTCTGGTATGCCCCGTCACTGGACCGCGGAACACCCGAAAAACAGTTGGATGTGGGATTTCACTCTGGCCAAAAGGCTGGAAGGCTTGGGAATGGAGCATGCTATCGGCTCGAGCTGCTGTTTCGGAGGCGCGAGGCAGAAGTTCTACTCTTTCTTTGGGTCTTCGGAAGAGATCAAGCAGCGCCTCACATTGGAGTGCCCTGGACACCAAGGTCTCTTAACCTATGAGGTGGAGCAAAATCCTGATGGATCACTCTACTTCCCGACTGAGGAGGGGGCAGAGTATCCCTGGGCGCTATGCTTAGCGTACGCTCGGGGACTCCGCGCTCAGTTGGACAAGGAAAAGGTCTTCGAGCAGGTCAGGATGCAAGCCAGAGAGAATTGGTATCAGGACGAGCTCCAAAAGAGCACAGCCCGCCTGGCAGATCCAGGCACATCAAAGCCAGTTGGCACTTACCTTGCCCGGTGGGAGCAGGAGATGAAACCAGGGCAAGAAGAGGCCCACCTGAGGAGCCTACTTCAGCGGGCATCGATGAGAGGGACCGACGTACGGTTCCACTTGATGGTCGGCACTGAAGAAACAACACAAGAGGTGCCTTACCCCGCCATGTTATGGCGGTGGAAAACCATCATTAGCTTCCCATGGAAGCAACCAGCCCACATCAATGAATTGGAGCTGAACGCAGTTGTCGTGACCGCCAAGCACAGGGCCAGAAATGCAAGCAAGTTTCATTCCAGGTGGATTCATGTGGTGGACAGTACAGTCTCAAGAGGGGCACTCAGCAAGGGCAGGTCATCAAGTAGGCGCCTCAATACTCCGTTGAGGAAGCAGGCTGCAATCTCACTGGCACAGAACACCTACATGTTCCCCGTCTGGACAATCAGTCGGTGGAACTTCAGTGACAAAGCCTCTCGCAAACATGAAGAAGCCTAGAGTTCATATCAAGTTCGCGGGATTGCAGCCAAGAACCCTTCGAGCCTACAGACTTGCCATTGACAATTTCTTGCATTTTGCAGGAAAAGATGCTGTCGCCACACTCAAGCCAAAACACCTGGATCGCCTTTTGGCTGAATTCATCAACACGTCCTTCCAAGAAGGCGACCCGCTGACCTATTCTGGTCACCTTTTGTCTGCATTGAAGAGGTTTCACCCAGAATTAAGACTTCAACTGCCAATCGCATCACAATATTTGCGCAATTGGACCAGAGCGCATGTCCCAAAGAGAGCAGTCCCGGCATCTTGGGAGTTGGTTGAGGCCATGATAGCTTTGGCATTGGAGGCCAATGAGCAGCCCTTGGCCCTGCTCCTAGGCATTGGTTTCCATGCAATGCTCCGCACTTCTGAGATGATGCAGCTTACGGTGAATCACATCTTGATTCATTCGTCAAAACAGGCCTTCAGTGTCGTCATTCCTACAGCTAAGACGTCACAGGGTAACCCACAAGTGCTGCAAATTCGTGATGAAACTCTGTGGCGAATGGCAGAAAAGGTCGGGCGCTCCTTACAGCCCAAAGCACTTCTTTGGAAAACTGGTCCCCATGCCTTCCGCAAAAGGTTTCAGCAGCTGCTGACACGCCTGGGGTTCCCCACACAGTCTTACCTGCCTTATTCATTACGCAGGGGCGGAGCCACTTGGTACTATCAAACCACTCTGAACCTGGATGCCACTATGACCAGAGGCCAATGGGCCTGCCAAAAGACATGCCGCATTTATGTCGATACTGGAACGTTGCAATTAGCCCATCTATCCTGGACGCCGAAACAGGCGAAAAGGGTCAGACAATGGCGCTTGAAAGGTGCTAACTTGCGGCTGCGCCAGAGGAAAACAAACTTGGCTTATGACTGAGTGTAGTTGAGAGTGAATTTCTGAGATGGGACATTTCCCCAAATTAATTTTTCAAGTTTGCTTGAAATTGGTATGACTGAGGCCCTCTTTAGGGTACACATTTTCAGAATCCCTCATTAGGGGTAACCTTCTTGAAGGTTTCATTTGTTTTTCCCCGTTTGTTACCAACTGAAAAAGTTGTGCAGGCTTGTAATGGGAGATGGCCGAGCGGGGTTCTAGAACTAGGGCCGTTTCCCGTTCATGATTGGGGCTGGAGTGAATGCGTCTAGCCTCAGTCAACTAGCAACCACAAGGCACTCTGTAAAACACGAGGCTGCTAAATACATTAACCTGAGTGGTGCTGAACGGACCTTGGAATTCATGCAAAGGGGAGTGAACAACGAAAGTATGTATTTTCCCTCTTTGTAGCCATTTTAACCTCCCCTCCCCTCATACCGCCCTTTTACCGCCTAGTCTGGCTGGCTCTTTTTCTTTGGGTGTTACTCTTGAGTACACTGAGGCCCTCTTTAGGGTACACATTTTCAGAATCCCTCATTAGGGGTAACCTTCTTGAAGGTTTCATTTGTTTTTCCCCGTTTGTTACCAACTGAAAAAGTTGTGCAGGCTTGTAATGGGAGATGGCCGAGCGGGGTTCTAGAACTAGGGCCGTTTCCCGTTCATGATTGGGGCTGGAGTGAATGCTTCTAGCCTCAGTCAACTAGCAACCACGAGGCGCTCTGTAAAACACGAGGCTGCTAAATACATTAACCTGAGTGGTGCTGAACGGACCTTGGAATTCATGCGAAGGGGAGTGAACAACGAAAGTATGTATTTTCCCTCGTTGTAGCCATTTTAACCTCCCCTCCCCTCATACCGCCCTTTTACCGCCTAGTCTGGCTGGCTCTTTTTCTTTGGGTGTTACTCTTGAGTACACTGAGGCCCTCTTTAGGGTACACATTTTCAGAATCCCTCATTAGGGGTAACCTTCTTGAAGGTTTCATTTGTTTTTCCCCGTTTGTTACCAACTGAAAAAGTTGTGCAGGCTTGTAATGGGAGATGGCCGAGCGGGGTTCTAGAACTAGGGCCGTTTCCCGTTCATGATTGGGGCTGGAGTGAATGCTTCTAGCCTCAGTCAACTAGCAACCACGAGGCACTCTGTAAAACACGAGGCTGCTAAATACATATATATATATAATTATCAAAGGAAGTTTAGGGGGAGAAACTTCCGTGTTACGGACTTTTAGAATGTCAGGGAAAGAGTTAGTCAAAGAAAGAGTTAGCAAAGAAACAGTTAGTCAGGGAAAGAGTTCGTCAAAGAAAGAGTTAGTCAGGGAAAGAGTTAGTCAAAGAAAGAGTTAGTGAGGGAAAGTCAGGGAAAGAGTTAGTCAAAGAAAGAGTTAGTCAGGGAAAGAGTTAGTCAAAGAAAGAGTTAGTGAGGGAAAGAGTTAGTCAAAGAAAGAGTTAGTCAAAGAAGAGTTAGTCAAAGAAAGAGTTAGTGAGGGAAACAGTTAGTCAGGGAAAGAGTTAGTCAAAGAAAGAGTTAGTGAGGGAAACAGTTAGTCAGGGAAAGAGTTAGTCAAAGAAAGAGTTAGTGAGGGAAAGAGTTAGTCAAAGAAAGAGTTAGCAAAGAAACAGTTAGTCAGGAAAAGAGTTAGTCAAAGAAAGAGTTAGTGAGGGAAAGAGTTAGTCAAAGAAAGAGTTAGTGAGGGAAAGAGTTAGTCAAAGAAAGAGTTAGCAAAGAAAGAGTTAGTGAGGGAAAGAGTTAGTCAAAGAAAGATGTAGCAAGAAGAGTTCGTCAGGGAAAGAGTTTTTTTTTTTTTGGTTTTTTTTTTTTTTTTTTTTTTTGTTTAGGTCAAGAAACCGTTAAGTGAGGCAAAGAGTCATTCAAAATAAAGAAGTTTAGTGAGGAAAGATGGTCGTCAAAGAAAGATTAGTCATGATATATAGGTAGTCAAAAGAAAGAGTTAGTCAAAGAAACAAGGTATCAAAGAAAGAGTTGGTGAGGAAAAAGAGTTAGCAAAAGGAAATGGTTTCCCGCAATGCAAATGGCATTGCAAGTGGTGCTGGTGGCGGAGTTGCCGATGGAGTTTTGAAGGAAGTCTCGCACGAAATGCGTTTTTGAGAGATAGCAGATGCACGAAACCCTATGTTTTTCCATACAAAGTCCGTCCCCGAACCTCGATGATCTACCTCTGCGGTGCGACGGTTGCGAGACGGTCTCGTGTGTGGTCGGATCAGCTCCGGATCATGGGCGGATCAGGCCTCGGATCGTCCGCACATTGTAAATGGGGTTTCAAGTGTTTTTCGTGCATGTGCGGTCGACAGAATTCCATTGTGATTTGCAACTGTAGGATCGTTCCCGCAATGTAAATGGGATTGCAAGTGGTGCTGGTGGATGAGTTGCCGATGGAATTCCATTGTGATTTGCCTCCCAACTCTAGGATCGTCCCTCACTGTAAATGGGATTGCAAGTGGTGCTGGTGGAGGAGTTGCCGATGAATTCCATTGTGATTTGCAACTCAAGGATCGTTCCCTCACTGTAAATGGGATTGCAAGTGGTGCTGGTGGAGGAGTTGCCGATGGAGTTTTGAAGGAAGTCTCGCACGAAAATCACGAAATGCGTTTTTGAGAGATATAGCAGATGCACGAAACCCTATGTTTTTCCATACAAAGTCCGTCCCCGAACCTCGATGATCTACCTCTGCGGTGCGACGGTTGCGAGACGGTCTCGTGTGTGGTCGGATCATGCTCGGATCATGGGCGGATCATGCTCGGATTGGTTCCGCATTGTAAATGGGGTGTCACCTGTTTTTCGTGCATGTGCGGTCGACGGAATTCCATTGTGATTTGCAACTGTAGGATCGTTCCCGCATTGTAAATGGGGTTGCAAGTGGTGCTGGTGGATGAGTTGCTGATGGAATTCCATTGTGATTTGCAACTCTAAGATCGTTCCCTCACTGTAAATGGGATTGCAAGTGGTGCTGGTGGAGGAATTGCCGATAGAGTTTTGGAGGAAGTCTCGCACGAAATGCGTTTTTGAGAGATAGCAGATGCACGAAACCCTATGTTTTTCCATACAAAGTCTGTCCCCGAACCTCGATGATCTACCTCTGCGGTGCGACGGGTGCGAGACGGTCGTGTGTGGTCGGATCATGGTCGGATCGGTCTCGGATCATGGTCGGATCATGCTCGGATCGGTTCCGCATTGTAAATGGGGTGTCACCTGTGTTTTGTGCATTTGTGGTCGACAGAATTCCATTGTGATTTGCAA